AAAAAAATAATATGACACCTCTAAATGAGCTAAAAATCGCTCTTTATAGGCCTGTTTTATGAGTGGGAGACTTAATGTTTTATATTTTAATTGCAAAATCCTTCTCATTGGCTAGTCAAGGAGACTTGAATAGACCTGTGCGCAATCTATTATTCTACTAATTTGAGTTAATGTTTCATATTTGTATTGGTGTTTATATCTATCATCTTCCATAGTAATGTGGTTTATTATAAAAATTATCAATATAAAAATATAAATGAAATAAAATTACAAGTGCTAAATATCTATTACAGTAAATTAAAATAATAACCTGAATTTCATTAATATTGCGACAGTCCAAATCACAGTCTATCCACCATCAATTTAATCAGTCTTTATTGATTTATGTGGATTTGTGTTACAGATCCAAAAAATTAAAATACAAGTGAAATGATTAACATAGCGAGATACCATAATTTTCCAACAAATTTCCAAAATATTGTAGTAATACAAAAATAAGCAAAAAAAAATGTTGTTTTATGTTATTTATTTGACCAAAGTTTGATGTTTGGGGATTTGGTCAATTCAGGAGCAACGAGGTTCTATCGGGGTGTTAGAGTCCGAGGGTTTAGAACAGTAAAGATAAGTAGATATAAAAAGATATGAATTAAGTTCCTCTCATAGAGGTATTAAATGCTGAGGTATTCTTGTAGTGGCCGGGTCTTGGCCTCCCATCTGACACCCAGTCGAAGCGTAATGTTAACTGGTATATGCTTTAGTGGAAATACTGAGGTATTCATGGAGTGGCGGAGGCCTCCTCTCAGTCACCCAGTCGAAGCGTATGACCAAGCACTAACTAGTTATTAATAATTAAATTAAATGATGTTTGAAAAATCTATTGCTTTACCATTCTTTACTCAGGTTATTAATTCTAAATAATTGGGTTAATGTAAATTTACTTACTTCTTTTATATATATTGCGTTCAGTTTTATACTGTTTCTTTTTTAATTAATAAATATAAAGTATTGAAGTAAAAATAATTGTACTTGATATCGCTTTAAAATGTACCGACGACAACATGGCGTCGCGGCTAGTTTGTTCAAAATAAATCAAATAGAAGAATCCTGAATTCCTTATTGAATTCAGATCTTCAAAAAGAAAAGAGAATAGAGCCGCTCGCTAGCACACTCGCTCACTCACTAATGTGCAAGCAGAACTAATTTAATTCGTTTTTTATATTATTTTTAATTACCCCTTCATGGGTTGTTATCGTATGCGTAATTAGNATAAAAATTAAAAAAAAATAAACAAAATATTTTACAGCATTTTAAAAAATATTTTAATTATCCAATAAAGTAAATATTTTAGGACATTTTGAATACACAGTGACATCTCTTGATATTTTAATAATTCATTAAAGTTGAGTTTAAAACCTAGATTTCGCTAAAAAATTATTTCAAAAATTTTTAATTTGGGGTAAATCATAAAATATTTTTTTTATTTCATTTCATTTAAACTAATTTAATATTGTTATGTTTAACAATTGGAAACGTCTTTGTCGTTATTTTGATGATAAAAAACATTTTAATAAGGCAAATCGAAAATTGATTTTAATATAATGGTTCATTAGTGGAAAAAAAAAATATTATTTTTATTTGTTTATAATGTTCCTAGTAAGTTATTAAAGGAATATATACTTTAAGAATACGTAAAATTATAAATACTATTTCTAAAGTTTTCGCAACACGATAAAAGCTATGAATAATGAAAAACATTTCAAATGTTTAATTTAGCTACTAATTTAATTAAAACTTATATTATAATTAAAAAATACAATGCAATTAATTTAATTTTTTTTATAAATTTTAATAAGTACTAAAGTCCACTAACTTNAAATTTTAATAAGTACTAAAGTATACTAACTCAACAATAATGCACCTTTTAGATTTGAATTGATTAATTTAGTTTAAGAAGCATGAATTTAATGACCGAGATATTCATGTAATATTAAACTGTGATATGATTAAAAGCACATGGGTCTTAATATCATCACATCATATAATGATGTTCATGCTTTGAGATATCGCATTTATTGATCTCATCATAGCAAAAAACCCTGGCTACTACTTGTAATAACCTTAATATTTGTAGTAAAAATTAATTAGTCTGAATAAATTGAATCAAAATTTATCCGAAGGAAATATTGTACAAATAGTCTTTTCAGGTATTTATTGATATATTTTTAATCAATAGTTAATAGTAAGGTCACCTAATCAACTATTACAATACTTATAATATATAAAACGTAAGTCCTCTTTTAATTTTGATTCTGTCTTCTATAAGGCTCCTAATATCCGTGTAGATTTAACATAATTAACCGTCCAGAATCTTCAATTGCACTCGTATACATTGAACGCAACAAACATGTACTTCTTAAAAGTAATTTTAACTTTCATCGCAATTGTATTTGGGCTATTCAATTCCGTTCACTCACAATGTCACAAATGGAGATCAGCTGATATGTACAAGCCCGCACCCACTTGTTATGCTCTTTATCAAGCGAGAAGTTTAGTTTATGTAAACTTCTGAATTCAGCTACCCATAATTTGCCACTGTATATGCTCAGTGTAAATATTGCAAACATTAAATTTGAAAAAATCGTAATTTTATTGCTTTAATGATGTTTTATTTTAACTGAAATTTAAAAAAAAAACTAGTGATATTCGAACCGAATCAAAAATCTTAAATTTAAAAATCAAATTTAAAATTGTAAAAAATTAAATCGAACTTTTTTATTGAAAACAGTTTGATAATTGAACAATTATAATCAGATATCAAACTAAATTTGTTGAATTATGATAAAAAAACCAATACAAGGGTTCACAGCATAATTGTGACATGGCATAGTTGGATCAACTATAATGATATCTGACAGTGATTAAAATCACTATAAAAAAAAAAAAAAACGCTCCGATGCAAATCTTTAGATAGTGTTTAATTTTAAAAAATTGGTAGATTATTCCAAAAGTTACATGATCTGCTGGTTCCTTATTAATATCCTGATTAAGATAAAGTTGTCGAATGAAAAAGGGATTATTAAAAAATATTATTTCTCATAAATAAATTGTGTTGATCCATGACCTTTTCAATAAGTTATAGCATTATAAAGTTAAAAATGTAAAAAATAAAATCGAAAATTCTCACACAAAAATAGCATTCGGTAGCCATTTTCACCATGAAGACAAAATAAAGTCCAACATTTTTTTTTAAATTTTAAAGCATATTACATAAGCTTCAATTTAAGATATATACACCCAGAGAAAAACTTCGATCTATATAATAAATTCATTGTTCAATTTGATAAATATATCATTACTATTGAACCTATGATATATTTATCAATATGATAATATTTTTCTTGTCTTGAACAATAATTATTCACAAGAATAGTTATTTTGTTCGTATTAATAAAACATTATCATAAACTCTTGATAAAATATCTATATCAAAATTGATTTAGGTTTTTCTTTGGGTATATAAAAGTTTCAGTATTTCTGGAACACTTTCAAAAATTAAGTTGAAAAAGTTCTACTTTCTATATGCATTTTTATGTTTTGAACCACCTCTGTATTAAAGGAAATGGTCCGATTTAAAAAAAAAGTATGTCGAATGAAAGAAGTATATAAATATTAATTTTTATAAAAAAATTGTATTGATCCATGAACTTTTCAATAAGTTATAGCATATTAAAGTTAAAAATATAAAAAATAAAATCGAAAATTTTTACACAAAAATATCATTTGATAGCCATTTTGACCGTGAAGACAAAATAAAGTATAAAATTTACGTTATAGGGAACGAGGGAAATTTTTTTCAATTTTTGAGGATAATGTCTTTGACTATATACGATTTGTGATATTTTACGTATCATTGAGAGTTATTTTTCTTGACTTCAAAGAAACAAAAAATTTAGATATGTTTAATTTTTTATACTATGTCAATTAGATTAATATAATATTTATGAAAATCAGTGTAATCCCCTTATAATAAAATAAAATACAAAACCCAGAAATTTAACACAATAATAGCAAATTTTTGAATACGGTAGCTATTTTCACCATGAAGACAAAATAAAGTCCGAATTTTTTTTTTAATATTTAAGTATAATACATAAGCTTCAATTTAAGATATATATAAAATTTTCAGTATTTCCGGAACACTTTCAAAAGTTTAGTTGAAAAAGTTGATTTTTTGTGAAAAACTTGTCATTTTGAGTCTCCCACTTTGGCCCGGTTAAAGAGTTAAATTTATAAAAAAAATATACCAAATATTAGGTAAAGACATCAAGCATCTATAGAAAAAAAAAATTATATTGATTTGTTTATTTTTGAAAAAGTTATGGCACTTTTAAGTAAAAAAAATTGAAAAAATTGAAAAAATTAGCGATTTTTAAATTCGTAATTTTTTTGGAGGTTTCCCCCATTTACGGAAACGAAGGAAATTTTTTCAATTTTTAAGGGTAATGTCTTCGACTAGATACGATTTGTGATCTTTTGATGTATCGTTGAAAGAAATCGGTTCGGTGAGAGCTGAGAAAAAGTGGTAACAGAAACAAAAGAAAAAAAAACACATCATAGTAAAACCATAGTAATAAATTTTTATTTTTATTTCACAAAACAATTAACCAATAAAAATTAACAGGATTTTCCACTATACCTTATATGCGTTTTCAAAAAGCTTTAATACACTATATGATCATTTATATCTTGTGATTTATAGGTTCACATGTAAATTTATGAAAATATGTTTCTACAACAATGTTTTGTCAAAAAATATTCGCCCAGTCATATTAACGTATATAAAATTTTATATTATATAAAATAATAACAATTTTTTTAAATATTAATATAATTTTAACTGTAAGACTTATATTTTAATGCGTAATAAGAAATTTAAATTTGTTGTTCTTAAATAGAAAATTCATTATTTTAATTAAAAATAAAATAATTTCAAAAGTATGTTAATTAAAGAAAATATTGTATGCGTTTATTTATCATCAATCATAGTTAATTACAATTAAGTGAAGTTATTTAATTTATTTTTACATTTTATTTTAGATTAATATCAGGAGAAAATGTTAAAACTATCATATTTTTCATTTTTGTAAGTATAGTATATTCGGTGCATTTTATTTTATTAATTAACATTTAGTACTTGAATTAAGCGTGAACGCATAAGGATGGAGCTTCTATTCTAAAATAAAAAAAATTGTCAATTAAAAATTACTTAGTATATGAAATGACTATAGATGTCTTTTAGATATTAATTAAAAATTAAATTAAAAACTATAATAAAAAAAAAAAATGTTTAAACTATTTAGAATAGTGTAAACAGTCTGTACATGTTGAAATGTGTATGCTTATGTATTTGTATTAATAAAGTTTTTTACTTATTCATTGTTGATTTATTTATATTAAAAATTCACTTGTTCCTCGTAAATTAAAGAAATCGTCCAAAAAATTACAATTTTTATGGTTAAATTTCGACATTTTTTAATTTAATATAATAAACTAGATCAAAAATTCTTACTTTGGATATTCTTTTATGCAATTTAATAAAAAACCTAAATACAGGAATGGATTGAAAATAAAATCACCCATGTATGTTTAAATTATTATTTTCCTATACAATATTTGGAAATATTTTGAAACGACTCTATACATTAAACCTATACAAAATTAAAGATTTTGAAATATACTTTAAGATTAAAAAAAATTTGTCCCAGCGACTGATCCTCCATTATGAGAAATTAGAAGTCAAAGTAAAAAAATACTTTATTTAAAGTATTTTTTTTTTTAATTAAACATTTCCACAAATTATAGTAGTATATGACTAATTTTTATGTTAAAATATGCAGAAAATCGTTTATAAACAGTTATAATATTGTTTTGTGTATGCAGCTCAAATATTTTAATAAACTCAAAAAGATTACTCAAATAGGTTAAATATGATATTTTGAATCGAAATTTTGCACAGATTATTTTTAACAAATAAATAATCGAAATGTATATTATTGTATTATAACTTTGAAAAAATAATTTTTTTTTTGTTTTTTAATTCTTTCTTTATATGTAAAAATTCGTTTTTTTAATAATGAGCAAATATATGAAAAATTAGAGCTAATACAAAAAGTCTAATAGCACATTTGAAATCAAATTGGTTTATAAAATTATATTTATCTCTAATGAAAATTTCTTATTGAATTTCGATTAAATACCCTGGGTATTTATTCATAATTAACAACAAATTATTTTTTGAATAGTTGAAATAAACTGGTTATTGCATCAACCTCTTCAATTTTGTTACACGTTTGCCACAAAGTTAACGAAGTAAAGAAATATTTATATTATTTTTATTATACACATTTCTCTGCAGAATCCTTAAAGAATCCAATTTCAAGTTTTTTTTATATGATATATGTATCTTTTTTTAAATTTTTTAAAATTATTTTTGAAAACTTTTGTAAAACCGTCAAATCACAATAGTTTACTGGTTACTCGCTACTAATAAGAGCACAGTGAGAATTAATTCGTTTTCCTTTTTTTTCTGGACGAAGTCATTTCCAATAATAGTTGTGCGTTTATTTGAAAAACCATATTTCTATTTTGCATCAGATTAAATGTCAGAATATTTCATTTTGACATATTTTTAGAAGATTGATGGTCATTAGAAGTTATTATCGTTCTTAGATGTCTTGTGTTCCATACTTAAACATGTTTTGGCTACTTTAAGTTTTACTCAATTGATCTATTTTTCGGGTCACATTTACAGTTGATTTTGTGAAAGTACTTGACTTCAATCATCGGAGTTACAATGTGGTGTATTTGAATTTAATGGAATTGAAAGTTTTTTAAATTGTTATATATTGTAAATTGTCTATATTTAGTATGGCAATAGTGCTCTCTTCCCATTGTGGTTCACTGATCTTAAAAATTGTTACAATTCTTAGTGACATTTTAGCGTGACAAAAGGTACCTCTTCATTTTGATTGAGCCGAATGTGAGCTACGACGGCGTTTATCATTCAAATAATCACAATAAAGTATGTTTTTTATTTGTGCGTATGCGAGATCACTTGTGTACTACTTCAGACCAGTTTGTGAACGATATTTGTGTGTACACTCACCCCGTTCCTTTCCTACCTTGAACGTCATTTGCACTGCTAACCTCCTACATTGTCACCTTATGATATATTCTAATTCAAATTGCTCTTAATAATTTCCGACACTGGGTAGTAAAATTTGTTGACCCCTACTCCTAAGGCTAGCCATGTGTAGCCATCGGACCGCCGGGTCAAACGTCAGAGGATTTGGTCGGAAATAATCCATCGTCGGAACTGGAACGCTAATTTTCGTCCGTAGCTGGAATTTTTTGTTTTGTTGTGAGTGTTGCAAAAATGTGTATTTTTTGGGGTTGGGTTTGGTTTTTACAATGTTACTGTATTTATCCAACTACTGCTTTATTTGTTGAATCCCCTAAACTTTAAATAGTGGTATATCGTTTAGAATTTATTAAAATTAATTTTTTCTTTTTGAGAAATTTTTTTAAGCTAAACAAGATTAATAAAAAAAACTGATTTACTTTGTTTATCCTTATTATTATTTTTTCTTTCTCATTGTTACTTTAATTTGTGGATGAGGTTTATTGACCATTCGGCTTTTTGCCTCATGTTAATTTTTTTTTGCGTGTTACATCTTTAATAGACCCGTGTATCTTGTATTTTTTTTCCTTTAAAAAATCAACGTGCCCTATTTTATAACGTACGAACAACAGACTTGTCTATGGTCATTCCTAATCATCATGATTATGTGACAGCTGTCACGAGATTGTGGTGTACATCAACTATCAACGATTCAAAATACATCAAATACAGCTTTAGTTAATTTTAAGACTATAATTATATCGGGATTTAATAGTATTATGACCTGCTCGAATATAAAAAATATTTTCATTTTAATGATCATTATTAATAGTAGTTTGGTTTAATATGATGACTTTAAAATTGGACAACATTTATTTTTTCTGTTGTCTTCTGTTTTTTTGCAAAATAATAAATTGATTTCAATGTTCAATATGTTATTTATTTTTAAATCCTACTGTGATCCGATAATATATTGTTTAGCTCAGTGAGTTGGTGACCGTCGTTCATATTATTCACAGCGCCATGAAAAGTTACAAATTTTATACATGGTGGCCAAATAATTCGAATTTTTATGTTATTTGTAACGTTTCAATTATAACGATAATCTTTTTTTTTGTTCATCAATTTTTTTTTTTTAACCAATGGTATAAAATATTTATTAGAAAAGGAATACCTTTCTTGGCTACTTCGGGAACACTAATTTACAGTAAAAAATTTAGTATCTTACAAACTAATTCAATTTATTATCAATACAAATGTAACCATTCTTTCTATATTTTAATTGACTAGTTTAACCATTGACACGGCCACGGCGTTGTCACCCGTTTGACACCCCGCGGTCGTATCAACTCCTTCACAGCCACCGCAACACTGTAAACTGTACCGTTACACACTCGCGTTATCGTTGTAATGTAAAGTCCAACAAATGCCTAGCGTCGAATACTCCACCGTAATAATACGTCCAGTCAGTCATCTTCGTGACACCTATATCGTTGGTTTCGCTGTCCACCTTACCGAACGCCACCGCACTGTCGAACATTACGGATATCTGTCACCAATTCATTTTTCAGTATTATTATTTTTTGTTCGCCTATTACTCTTGTATTGCTGTTTTCTTTTTAATTAAACGGCTCGACGCCACCTGGAAAACCAACCTTGTGTCGTGTAACTTATTTGAAGTCTACTCTCAACACCATAGAGAAAAAAAAGACAAAAATTATTTTAAGTTTAGATGATATTTGACAGCGATTAAAATCACCATCATAAAAAACACTCCGATGTCAATTTATAGATAGTATTTAATTTTAACACGCTTATATTAGTTTCACATGTATGTTTGTTTGTTCTAAGTTTGTAACTCCACGCGGCACGTGTTATTATGTCGCGTATACCGTCGACTATGACCTTGAGACAAGACTGTCATAACGCTTTCATCCCACCCCGCTCACCAATGGCCGCCAACAATATTTTCCTGTATAATGTTTTTATTTTTGGTTCTCGTACCTATATACGCGTGCGTGTCATCAATTATGCCCCACGACTCGTGCCACCTTTATCAGCCGTCACTCTATTTTATGAGTATTTGACTGACCAACACCGCGCGTAATACGCCGCGGTGCAAAGTTCAGCAAGTGCCGCACGACCAACGACGTCCCGCCACTAATGATACCGTAGTCTTCTTACCGTTGTCAAATTGACAACGTCGACGNGCCGTAAATTATACCGTAGTCTTCTTACCGTTGTCAAAGTGAAAACGTCAACGAACTGATCCGCACTCCTGTACCGTCGCCATCAACGCTGCTAACCTTTTGACGCCCGAGGATCACGCCGGACATCGCATCGTCGACGCCATCGAAAGTGCCGCGATATTATGCGAAGATTGTATATTCCTGCTGCCGCCGCTAATATTAATATATATATATATATATATTAATATTTAATGTATATACGTATATGTTAATATTCATTTGTATATCCCTACAACCGACGCCGCTGCCGCCGTATATACCTCGTGTATACGTCCCCCCCGCTACAAAACATGGCTATACCTCGTGCATGATACGTTTACGTAATTAAGTCGCTTTACATGTATATATATATTCTAATTACTATTAAAATTTATATATTGACACGCTTTATTCTCATTTAGAGGTATAAAGTATATTCATTCTGATTACGGGGAATCATTCCCGTATCGTCATTTTTCGTCACTACTTCCACGTTGCGCGCCTGCTGCTTTTCTTGGATGTGGTAGCCGTTTTTCAGACTCCCTCTCCGGAATCGAACTCTGATTCCCCTTTACCCGTTACAACCATGATATTGATAGTAACTACTATCATAACATGAAACTAAAAAGTGAAAAATAAATATACTATAAAAAAACTAAAAAACACGCTTTTAAAGCACATCGAACTTAAAAGTTAAAAATAATTTTTAAAATTAACTTAAAAAAATAATGAACGAAAAATACTAGTATTATTGTGAAAAAAAGCGTGGATGCTTTATGCCATATTTTTCGTATATTGAGCACCCGACGCTTTTATAACAATAATACTAATATTTTTCGTTCTTTATTGTTTAAGCTTATTTTAAAAATTATCTTGAACTTTTTAGTTCGATGTGCTTTAAAAGCGTGTTTTTTAGTTTTTTAAAACTATATTTATTATAAATTAGAGGATTAATATAAAAGTAAAATTAACTACAATTTTTGTTCAACTTCAATGGCTATTGGTACATAGAAGATAAGTAGTCAGATATAAATATTTTTTAACTAATAGTACGTAAAATAAGCTTTAATTTAACATTTTTTTAACGGATATAGTATTTCCGGAACATTTTCAAAAATTAAGTTGAAAAAATTATTATCTTGGAATAAGTTGTTACTTTGAATCAGTCTCTGTCGGCAGGTAAAGGATTAAATGTTCACAAAAATCTATCAAATGATAGGTAAATACCTGAGGTACTTACAAAAAAAAAAACTATTTAAATTTGTTTATTTTTTAACAAGTTATGGCAGTTTTAAGAAAATAAAGTATAAATAACGTGTAAATTGATCGTTTTTAAAAAAAGTAATTTTTTGGGGAATTTCCACCTTTTTCTAGGAAACAAGAGAAATTTTTTCAATTTTTTAGAACAATGTCTTCAATAAGATTTGATTTTTGATCTTTTGATATATGGTTGAAAGAAATCGGTCTGGTGAATGTTGAGAAAAATTGGTAACAGACATAAAAAAGAAAAAACACGATATAGTAAAATTAATACCTTCTCAGCTTCACCTGGGATCTAATGATCTATATAATGGAAATGATTCCTTTAATGATGTTATCTCTTGATTTTCCCGAATACTATGAATACTATGGACATATAATTTTGCGAATATATTTCTGAATGCTATAAAAAAATAAACAAAAATATTATTAACTCGTTAAAAGTATCTAGATGTCAGTTTTTTTATTTAATATTGGAATAAATCAACAAGATAAAATAACTTTTTATCTTGGATTTATGGAAACATTTTGAAATATATCAAATTGGCCTTAGATGGGTTGTATAAAGTCTAAAAGTCTAAAAAATTTTACGTATTATTTATATTACCTATAGCGCTGATATCTTGTGCGTTTGCCCTTTCAATATTTATTAATTGAATAGCTCTAGCATCCGAGATAGAATAATTAGCCCTGAATAAAGCTATTTTTAATTCTGTTATAGTCATCTTATCATGGATGAGAGATGTATTATACAAATTTTCTATTAGAGTCTCAATTCTTTTTACAACATTTATAGCTTGATTTAAAAATTGTTGCTCGTTCATTAATTTGTCTACTTTTGAAGTAAAAATGATGTTTTATTAATTAATTTTTATTTAAAAGTAGGGTGGTAATATTAATACTTTTATTAGTAATAATCACTAACCGACATTATAATATCACTTAATATAATTAATTTATTATAATATTATAAATAATAATTTATACCAGAAATAGTTTTTTTTATTACTTGAAAATCGAATAATACTTTCTAAGATGCTTAAATTATTATATTGATTAAATTTTAAATACAGAGTGATTTCATTATTATAACCCATTCAATAACTTATAGAATAAATATAATTTTAACATTTTTTTTTATATTTAGTTACATATTATTCTTAAATTATTAACTATGTGATACTTTTTAAGTTCATCCCTTATGCCTTATAAGAGTGTTAACTTTGATTTTTTAAATGGGAACAGATATTTCGAATTTAATATTAAATGGCATTTGAATTTTTAATAATACTTTATTAATTTATTAGATATAAGCTTATAAAGTTTAACATATAAATTTAATCTATATTAAATTATTGTTGTTTATTTGATGAAAACCATAACATAAAGAAATAAGAGGGGGTAAGAAAAAATAGGTACACCTTCTTATGAATATTCAAAATACGAATCTATATATTATAGTTCTTTAATATTCATAAATATAGGTTTGTATTTATCAGCTTTAAACCGTAAACATTGCGAGATATAATCTCATATTTTAATCTCAAATCATTAGTTAAAGTGTGGGAGGATGAAAGGGGGCGGAGTCCCCCTTCTTATTTGGAGTACAATGTAGCCTTCCCTTTTAGGTCGAGTCCAAAAATAATGGAGGGACTCTCTAATTTTTAGCACTGAAGAGTGGAAATCGTAAATATAAGAAATTTATTCGAATGATCAAAATTTCAAAACTGTTAAAAGAAAATAATTGTAGAAGAACTTAAATTATGAGATGAAAAGAATTTTATGATGCGACCATAGTAATATAAGTATTTGGAGAAAGACCAACCATGATATAATTTTTGTGATTTGTTAGTTTTTGTATTGTTCAAAAGTTTAATTAATCAATTCTTTAATTTAAGCTTAAGAATTCATGTTATTAATTTATGACTATACATGATACCAAAATATTTATTACATTAAGGGTTACAAAGTGATAGAAAAAAAAATTTAAGGTGATATAACATTTGTTATATTAATATAATCTACAACGGTTACTGATATAATTTTAGTTTGCTGAGTATTTTATAAAGTATATTACTATATTTGACATTTTATATTTTTATAAGAAGATACCTACCTAAATTGTTTACTGTTAATATTTTTTTCTCAACTTGATTCTGTTATAGTAAAAATATTTAAAAAAAATACAATTTTGCATTTATTTCCTTAATAAATTAAAAATTTGATTCTGACTATGTAATGTTTTGTATAATATTCATTTCTAGTTGAATTTTAATGAAATAACAAAAATTATAGTTAGGTTCTAATGTATTATAGGTCCTTCAGATATTTTTTTTTAATTAATTATGTATATTTTCTTATTATGATCAATATAATTTTTAACCTCTAGGGACAGACAATTCGTTGTTGCTCAGGAACGCTCCTCATTTTTTAGGAACTATAGTCCCCCATTCTAATTTCTCCTACTTTAATCATTGTCTCAAAACAAAATGTTATTGTACCTATTACTTTGAACGATACAACTAAAAGATATGCAAATATATTTAATTTATCAGTTATAATAGTACTTGTTGAAAATAAATGTAATCTTATTTTCATAATTAGATTTTTACTTACTTTCAACTTCATTGGTGAATAAACGTTCAATTTCATTATCATTATACACGTGTAAAAGTTTATAATTAAGCAAAAGGTTTTTAAATCGAACAAAGTCGATACCTTCATCATGGCGTTTATTATTTTGAAAAATACGTTTTAATTGATTCTCAAATATATCATTCAATTTTGAGTTCTAAATTAAACAATTGATTTATGAGAATTAAGATTTAATATTAAAATGACTAAATTTTTAGATAAACACTCATTAAAATCTTTATCATCAAAAACACATCAATGCAAATTTGTAGATAGTGTTAATTTTTTAGAAAGAATTGTTGTATTATCCGAAAAGTAAATCAACTCTTATTTCCTTAAACGTATCCCGATAAAAACTTTTATGATTTATTAATTACATTAATTACATAAATAATATTTATAGTTATAAAATATAGTATGATATTCAATAATTTTATTGTAATTTTTATAGGAAAATATATAAAAAAAAAATAAAAAAAGAGAATATTTATAATTAACACTTAAATCTTATACATATAAATTTTTTTGTAAATGAGGGGGGCATTAATGGGGCACTTACTTCTCACAAATTACATCTAGACAAAGATATAAACCTTAATAATTAAAAAAAAATTTTCTCATTTACGTAAATGGAGTAAATCCTCAAAAAATAATAGCATTGTACTTTTAGCTTCGATTCGAAGCTGAGAAGGTATTGGTTTTACTAGATGTGTTATTTTAGATTCGATTCGAATCTGAAAAAGTATTAAAATTACCACCATGTTTTTTTTTTTTTTTTATGTCGCCACTTTTTTTCAGCTCTCACTGCACCGATTTCTTTCAACAATACGTCAAAATATCACAAATCCTATCTAGTTGAAGACATTACCCTTAAAAATTGAAAAAAAATTCCCTCGTTCCCCGCAAATGAGGGAAATCTCCAAATTGTTGCAAATTTAAAAATCGGTAAATTTTGTCATTTTTTTTCACTTTTTTTCTTCCATAACTTTTTCAAAAATTGACAAATCAACATAATTTTTTTTTTATACTATAACCTTAGATATTTCCCTTTCATTTGATATCATTTTTTTGAAAATCTAATACTTAACCTGCTCACTGGGGAGGATATCAAATAACATCTTTTTCACAAAAACTAACTTTTTTAACTTAATTTTTGAAAATGTTCCGGAAATACTGGATCCCATCTCTATAGTCTCCACTCGTGAGTAGAAATTTTTTATTCATGTTACTATTATTTTACTATTTGTTTTTTTTAAGGCCGTAATTTATTTTTCCAACCCCCAATTAACCTACTTTTTTTCAACGATACGTCAAATGATTTAAATTCGTATTTTATTGAAGATATTACCCTCAAAAGTTGAAAAAAAAATCCTTAATCAAATAACAAGCAACTTATCCAGCTTTATCCATACAAACAATTAAAATTATTAATTTATAATATTCTTAGAGTATATTGTCGAATTAGATTTGATCTTATATTATTTTACTTTGAAATTTATTATTCTTTTTACTCTATATGTGTGTGCATAGTTGTAAAAAATACTTTTAAAAAGTATTTTAAATAATATTCAAATATTTAAAAAAAAATGTATTTAAAATACTATTTGAATACTTTTCATACAAAAGTATTTGAGTAATACTCAATTACTTTACAAAAGTATTTCAAATACTAAGAATACAATTAAAAAATAATAATAATGTTTTTATTTTGACAAGAACAAAAGGTTCCACCTAAATAATTACCAAGAGGGTAATTTGAGTCAAATATTGAGTACCCTTAAATTAAGAGAACTCATTTATAATTTTCGATATTTTTTGTTAGAGGTAAATAAAATTAATTATTGGAGACTAATCAGTGAAAAAAATAAATATTAGTACACGTGTAAAAACCTGTAAAGTATGTCTTATTGACAATAGAGTAAATCATTTGAACCTGCATTAGGCTATTGTAGGTTCAACTGATGTATTAAAATTAGATGTATACATAATAGCATTTAGATAAGCACAATAATTACATTATACTATAATGTAACATATAAAATAATAGAGAATTATTCTCAATTTTCATTTTGACTGAGTTTAATTTGCTTGCTGTGTTACGATTATCAAATTAAAAAAAAAAAGTATATTAATAGTACTGAATATTAAACAGTATTAAATACTAAATAATTGTATTTAAAATACTACTCATATACTTTTTATTAAATATATTTAAAAATACTATTCAATACCAATGAAAGTATTTGAATACTTTTATTCAAATACATTTACTCAAATGCTTTACGCCTTTGTGTGTGTGCTACCACCAATCTAAAACATTCCAAATTTTTTCGTAACATGTAAATCATAAATCTAAAAAAAAAAAACCCATCAAAAGGGGGTCGCTGCACAGTGGTGACTTGGCATAGTTGGATCAAGTATAATGATATCTGACAGTGATTAAAATCACTATCAAAATAAAACGCTTCGATGCAAATCTTTAGATAGCGTTTAATTTTAAAAAAATTGTGGATTATTCCAAAAGCTACGTGATTTGCTAGTTCCTTATAAATATCCCAAATGAAAAAGAGATAATTAAAAAATATTATTTTTCATAAAAAAATTGTGTTGATCCATACACTTTTCAATAGTTATAGCATTATAAATCTAAAAATGTAAAAAATAAAATCGAGAATTTTCACACAAAAATAGCATTTGGTAGCCATTTTCACCACGAAGACAAGACTAGAGGTCAAATTTTTTTTTTTTCATAATTAAGTACATTACATTAGCTTTAATTTAAGATATATATAAAAGTATCAGACCTTCCGGAACATTTTCAAAAGTTAAGTTGAAAAGTAAATTTTTTGTGAAAAAGATGTCATATTAAATCCCCCCCTGTGGGCAGGTGAAGAGTCAAATTTACAAAAAAAATATATTAAATGAGAAGTAAAGACATCAAGCATCTATAAAAAAAAATTATATTAATATGTTCATTTTTGAATACGTTACGGCAGTTTTTAGTAAATAAAATTAGCCATTTTTTAATTTGTAATTTTTTGGATGTTTTCCCCATTTACGGGGGACGAGGGAATTTTTTTAAATTTCTAAGGGTAATATCTTCGACTAGTTACGATTTGTGATATTTTGACGTATCGTTGAAAGATATCTGTTCGGTGAGAGCTGAGAAAAAGTGGTAACAGACACAAAAAAAGAAAATAACAAAAAATAAAAAAAAAAACGCATCATAGTAAAATTAATACCTATTCAGCTTCGCATCGAAGCTAAAAAGATTTTTAGTCTCACCTGAATTTAACAATGGATGCAATGAAAAATTTACTGTAAATAATAATNTTAGTCTCACCTGAATTTAACAATGGATGCAATGAAAAATTTCCTGAATGCATATTAATTTTAACAATACCATTTTTTTCTATTTAATGATTACAATTTGAGCTAAAGTTATTGAAATAAATTCATTCTTTTTTCTTCATTACAAACTTTCACTTTAATGGACAAAAAAATGTAGGTCAAAAATGATCACTTTTAACATATTAAAAATCAATAATAATTGGAAAACAATTAATTATAAAAATTATATAATGTATGAGTAAAAGGCTTCAGAAAAATTGAGACTGTGGTAAAGTTATTGACCGGAAACTAACTGACACAAAATCAATAAAGACTACAAGGTAAGCAATTACTAATTGTAGTACAATTAGTGTAGTACAATTTACGTACAAAAAAGTTTGTGTCGCTCGCGGAGGAAGTAACGACGGCTGCACGTAGCATGAACACGTTCAAACCGGTCATACACAAGTGCCACACTCTACCCAATATATATATCTTAATGAAAGCTTATGTAATATACTTTATTATGGAAAAAAAAATGTTAGACTTTTAAAAAAATTCTTTTTTATATTTTTAACTTTAGAATGATATAACTTTTTGATAAATGAGTGGATTAATATAATTTTTTTATTAGAAATAATATATATATATCCCTTTTTCATTCGACATACTTTATCTTTATCAGGATATTAATAAATAAATAACACATCATGTAGCTTTTTGAATAATCCACCATTTTTTTTAAATTAAATACTATCTAAAGATTTCTATTGACGCGTTTTTTTTTTTTATAGTGATTTTAATCATGCCCAGATATCATTATACTTGATCCAACTATGCCACATCACCACTGTGCTGCGACTCCTCTGTGCAGGGTTTTTTTAAATTTTGTATGAAATTTATATTCAATAATTTAATTTTTTTTCATAATAAAGTACATTACATTAACCCATCAACGCCGAGAATTATTTTTTTTCAAACTTTCTATTTTTTTTACTAAAAACAGATTAATATACAACACAAAAATAAAAAAAAATTATTTTTAAATTTTTTGAAAATACGATTTCTGAGATATTGAGTGTCACCATATGGCTACACTCGGCTTTTACCTATTAAATTATTCAGGTATAAAACGCGCGATAAAAATAGCAATACGAATGTCACCATATGGGGACGCCAGGCGTTGATGGGTTAACATTAATTTAGGATATAAAAGTGTCAGACTTATCGGAACACTTTCAAAAGTTAAGTTGAAAACGTTAATTTTTGTGAAATATTTTCATTTTAAATACCACTCCTGTGGGCAGGTAAAGTGTCAGATTTCTAAAAAAAACATACAATATGATAGGTAAGGACATCAAGCATCTACAAAAAAAATTATATTGATCTATTCATTTTTAAATAAGTTTAGGCAGTTTTAAATAAAAAAAATTGAAAAAATTTCGAAAATTAGCAATGTTTTAATTTTTTTCCCCAAAACTGCCATTACTTTTTGAAAAATATATAAAAAAAAATTAATTTTTTATATATAGATATATTAGGTATTTACCTATCATTTGGTTTTTTTTGTAAATCTGACCTTTTACATGCCCAAATGTGAGATTCAAAATGTTAAATTTTTCAGGAAAAATTAGCTTTTTCAAATTAACTTTTAAAAATTCTACGGAAACACTGACTTTTTTGTATATATCATAAATTAAAGCTTATGTATTATACTTAAATATTATATAAATCAAATTGACATATCATATAAAGTTAAACTTATTTTAATTGTGTTATGTATTTTAATTATACTTATTTTAAATAAGAACAAGTTATGTTTAACAG